AAGAGCAATCTGTGGATGGCCATGACTGCACAGATTCCTGAGGCTTTTGGGGGATGTAATTGAGATCCTGAAGTTATATTTGTATGTATTTGGTATTCCTGATCATTGTGTTGATGCTCTTGCTTTTCTTGAACGTAGGTTGAACTTCCCAGCCGTTTCCAAGCAGATTTTATTCCCCACAGCAGCTGATCATGACTGAATAACTGACTGCTGGATCAATGAACAGGAATTCACTGAGATGACATAGGGAGGAGGGACAAGGACAATGGTGCAGAAAAAGAAAATCTGCCCTCGGTTACTTGACTACCTTGTGATCATTGGAGCCAGGTAATGTAAAAGATTCTCAGCTATGTTTTTACTTGGGCAGTGGAGCAGGGACAAATAGCCTAGCATCTGTTGATGAGGTCTTGCCTGGCGCTGAGGAAGTGCCGTCTGGGATGTATACGGAATGCCACCGTAATGGGGGGTTGTTCTTGGCATAAGGCACGTTTTGAAAGATTTTAGTGAAGGCAAAGGTTTCTAACTCATGATCTTCAGAACTCGTTTTGGTAGTCTGCAAAAGGTGACTAAGGATAGTCAGTTTATATATGGCTCTGTGGCAGCCTGTGTATCTGAACCTCTTAAGAGTCTGCTTCTACTGACATCAGGACAGGCTGATCCACAAAATGAAAATAGTGAAAATTACTTGCAAGTAAAATACGAGTTTAGGCTACTTTTCTAACTTTTGAAATGTAGTCTGTAAATCCAGTTAGAAATCTGAGACTTGCTTTCATTGGTTCTCCTTCTAATACTCATTTATCCTAATATGGAATGACATGAATGCTTTTTAAAAAAAGTCTTATTAATCATCAACAGATGTTTATGAATTTATTTGATTCAATCTTTTTGAAGGCTTATTTACTCAAAGCGTATATGAAATGTGGAGTTGATATGTGTGCTATTTGTCATATGCATGAACACTTAGTAAATGTTACTTTTCTCTGTTCAAAGTTTGTGCAGTGACCTCCTGCCAATCTAATTAATGGAAGTGTTCCCAGGTGTATTATACTTTCATTTGTGAATATCAGTGGTTTATGTGCATCAGCCTGTTGCTTTATTTCCTACTTTCTTCTCAAAATACCTAGAGTGCAGTGTTCACATATAGGCTAAATGGAGGAAATTACAAAATCCTAAGTAAAACTGTGTGTATTTATTTTATGGGCAGAATAATTCAATAGTTTGATTATTTCCTATTGTATGTGGAAAAATGACAGTTTTCCCCATGTAGGTCCCTGACTAGGAAAAGGAGGAGGAGAAATTTTAACTACCTCCTCCAGTGATGCTTAGAGTATCTGATCTTCTCACAGATTTACTAGCATCGGTTCTGGACTGCTGCAGTACAACACTCTTGCTTTTTACTGGGCAATAGTAGCTAGATGGTTACTGCTCAGAGGTCCGTTGTCTCATGAGATAATTCCACAAATGTCTTTGATGGGAGATGGAGTTGACTGAACTAGCTGCTACTGAGAATTCCTTAGGAACTCCATGTGGCCTTTAGCATTACGTCTTGTTATGCGCTGCCCACAAGCAGCAATGTCTTTTGCAAGTTTTCCCTTTTATCAGATGCAACATTTCTAAGTGTCTGTGAAGACTGTTTTTCTGCTTGTAGTTAATGTTACTCCAAAGAGATGGACTTACCATATTTTCACTGGTACTTCATTGATGTAATTTCTTTAAACGCTTTACTGCCAAGTAGACTCTCTAAACAATACCAGCATTCTTTGATACTTCTTCAGCAGATGATGCATTAGTTACATTCATTAATAAAGTGTACAAAAGCTTTTTAAGGCTCTTTTTTTCCTTTTTTTTTTTTCTTGTAGTATTTCATTATTTAACTATTCAGGCAGTATAACGTTTGTTACTAATTTATATGTAAAAATTTTTTTACTATAGCATGTTTTCTTTCTGTTTATTAAAGAGCTGTATTTGTTTAGGAAGTTTACAATCAACAGAACTGTTTACAACAGAGATTATTCTCTTCCTGCTTGGGTTATTTTTTGTAGTGTTTTGTTATCCAGCACTTTTCAGTTAACAAAAGAAGGATAAGCGTCACTTATATTTTTGAAATGGGCAAATCTAAAGTATCAAGGTGAGAAAATGTATTGTATGACATTTTGTAGGAGAGTGATGGTAGAGCCAGGTCTCCTACATCCCATTTAGTGTCATGTTTACTAGATTTTAATTACTTTTAAAAAATGTTGTGAGTTCACACTTTATGGCAAACGGATCAAACCGGAGAGAGGTCGTGTTGGGGGCATATTTCTCTTCCTTTACTGTGTGGCTCTCATAATGCCCCTCAGGCAATTATTCACTAACTTCCATGGAAACGGGATAGTAGGAAAACAGTTAATACCTTGAAAGAAACTAAACTCTGTTCTTTCAGTGGAAATTAGGAATAAGCAATATTGCCTTTCTGTCTTTGTGTTCCATTAGTGATTTGTGGGACAAAGGTTGGGGTGCTGCTTTAATACATAGGGCTACATGTTACTACTCAGTTTTTGTAGTATAACTTATCTTTCAAATCCAGCTTAAAAAACAAACACAGAAACACACATATCTACAGTTCCTAGAACTTTTTAAAGAAAATTTTACAAGGTACGGTTTTAGATCCACCAAATTTGTTAGTAACTGTTTCTAACTTAATGGATGCCAGAATTTTGTCATTGCTCTTTAGGGTTACCAAACCCGGAAAGGTTGTAATGTATTTCATCAAATAAATGAAAGTGTTTTTTTCTGAATGCTGGGTTTGCTTACTTTTTTTGCTTACAGTTAACTTTTTATCTGACTAAAGGCAACTTTATTTTCATTTTTGCTGATTTTCTTTGTGCTTGCTTTCTCTCTCCTTCCCCTCCCCTTTCTTACTGGAAAAGTATTAGCCTTCTTAATTTCTCGGCGCTCTTTAGCTTATGGTTATAGTGTATTTCTGCTGGAATTATTAAAGCTTATTCTATGTCATACATCAGTTAAGAATATTATGTTGTTCTCATTACACTTCTATCACAGCTGCTTCCTTTTGTGTAACCCAGGAAAAATTGTTGCGTTGCTTGCTTGGCTATCCTGGAGTTCTCATCTCCAGCTGGGGCCCTCTTTATTTGCCTGGGCAGGATATTATGATAAATTATTGTTTTATTGTTTCTAAACAATAAATTTTTGATTATTGTTTCAATAATTATTGATTATTGTTTCTAAACTTCTCCAATACACCCTCTTTACAGGTTAGCATAACTGACAGGTCATGTGAGATAGATGGAACAGGAGGGCATAAGTTTGCGTGTTGTTGGTAGTGACTAGTCCTTCGTATCATAAGAGCATTGAAATAATGTTCTGTGGGGCTATGGTGAGGTCTAGAGTGTTATCTCCCATTCCACCACTTACTTGAGTCCTTCATGGTAAATTCTTATTTTTTCTCAATTAGGAACTGATGTAGGATTTTGTCATTTATTTTCATCTTGTCCTTAAGTGTCTGAAATAGTTGTTGTTGCTTTTTTTTTTTCTGGCTGTGTATGTTTCTGCAGGTCATGTTCGGAGGGGGATGTCTTTCCTACCCAGGTATTACCCAGAGACCTGTGCAATTGAGTTGATTTTGGAAATTAAATTCAGGGAAATATCACAAGAGGATGTGCCCCTGAGAACGTGGTGCTCCTGAAATTCCTTTTCTTGGTCAAATTTGAACAGAGTAGCTCCTTGTTGGGCCTTGACAACGATGTAGATCTTTTATTCCACTATTTCACCTTTCTGCGATAATTGTGGCCCTGTACTTGCCTGCCTTTTTGTCTTTAGCAGTGTGGCTAACACCTGAAAGGCTGCACTTTCTCTGGAAGTTAGGAGTGAGGAGAACCAAAGATGAAACTGAGTCCACAGACCTCTAACATGTTAATAGGGAGACACCAAAGATTTTTCTTGGCATTAATCATCTGTGTATTTTTTTTTTTATTATTTGTTTGCTTTTTGTAGGCAGCCAAGTAGTGATAGTGTTGCTCAAACGCCTGAGCTACTGCGGCGTTACCCTCTAGAAGACCATGTGGACTTTCCTCTGCCACCTGATGTTGTGTTCTTTTGCCAGCCAGAAGGATGCCTGAGTGTGCGGCAGAAGCGTATGAGTTTCCGTGATGACACTTCCTTTGTCTTCACGCTCACAGACAAGGATACGGGTGTCATTCGCTATGGAATCTGTGTCAACTTCTACCGCTCTTTCCAGAAGCGAGTACCCAAGGACAAGGGAGAAGGCACAGCAGGACATAGGGCTCGGGAGGGACAGAAAATCCCCAAACCAGGGGACACCTTTGTCCCCCAAGAGCAAGCGGGCACCGAGAGTTCGGAGAGTGGTTCCTCACTGCAGGCTCCAAGTACAGAGTGTACCCCCGATGTGAATCGATCGCCACGCAGTAAACATCTGGCCAAAGGCAGCCATCGCTCTCGGAACAGTACCCTGACTTCTCTGTGTATCCTCAGTCATTATCCCTTCTTTTCCACTTTCCGTGAGTGTCTGTACACTCTCAAGAGACTTGTGGACTGCTGCAGTGAGAGGCTGTTGGGCAAGAAGCTGGGGATTCCTCGTGGAGTGCAGAGGTATGTTAAGAGGGAAGCAAACTTTCACCTGCACTGTTTGTCTCCACGGCTGCAGTTGTACAGCTAATTGTTTAGTTGCAGAAGAGGTTGGTGGTTGACCGCTGACATACATTTCTGTTTTAACCCAGAAATGTATACAGTAAAAAAGGGAAACTTTGGTGGTGATTTTTGTAGGACTTCTCTCTCTGGTTCTGTAATTTGGTATGATTTTAGTTGTTGATATGCCTGTGGAGGCACTATCCTGGTAGCAGCTGACTGAACGTGATCTTTTCTGAAGCTAAGCACTGATACTGTGATTGCTGCTTTGCCATGTGAGCTCCGTGGCAGTGCACGTCAAGACTGATCCTCTGGCAAATTAGAAACAGTCAAGAAATAACAGGGAGAATTTCTACTTGGGGCAAGAGGGAAATGATGAAAGCGCGCTTCATGAGCTTATGAAAAACAATCTGAACATCAGCGTGGGAGAAAAAAGACTAGTGAAGCAGGAATGACTGAAAGAGATCAAAGTACAATATTTGGAGGGGAGAGGGAGGAGAAGTAGAAAACTAAGGAGCTGTCTAGGAAGCCTATGGGACTGGAGATCAAAAACAGCAAATTAAACAAGAACTTGCGATGTCTTTGTATGTAACATGGTAGTCTTATGTACCTGCTATTATGATATTGGGTATGGAACAAAAGCTGTTGCCCTGTAGGGTATGCAGGGTACAATGTCTTTCTGTATATCTGTCACGGACATATCTCTGTATTAGTGTGCCTGGCGCCTGCATTACAGGAAGATATTCTTCCTTTCCAGTATGTTAACTGAAAAGAGAAAATACAAAATGAATTGTTGGGGGAAGGAGGAGAATACCTTAACGGTGAGAGCAATGATGAGGTGAGCTCAGAGAGCAATGATGAGGTGAGCTCATAATGTGAATCCTGTAGCTTGGTACACTTCAGATTAAACTTGTCAAAGGCTAAGAAGTGACAGAACGTCTGCTGTTTTTGTCTCTAGAAGCTCATTACGCCTTGGGTGAAAGGGGAAGGCTGTCCTCGTCTGCAGAGCAGTAGCCGACAAGTCAGGTTGCTGCCCTGGAATAGTTTTAGGAGAGTGTTCTGGGCTTATGCCTGACTCTTGCATCAACAGATTTATCACCTGAATCTTGGGAAAGATTCTGTCAGGCTGTTGAGAAAGAATGATTCTGTCAGAACAAAACTAATATATTTTTAATGAAAATATTTATTAAGGGAACTTATTTTGTCACTTAGTTTAATCTGATTGTATTGAGACAGAACAAAGCTAAATTTCATAATTTTCTTCAACTCTCTGATCTTAGATCTGAGTTTAGAAAGGGGTGCTAATATAGTCCGATGTTGTTTGAATGGCATGTGGTATTTGAAGAATTTGCTGCTGTTGGAAATCATTCTTAGAGTTAAGAGAAGAACTGAGTGACAGGTGGGGAGGGCAACGGGAGAACGCTGAGCATACCACACTGGGATGATTAGGGCAGCAGGTTTGAGTTACCATGTGGCTTGCAAGCCGTTGCCTGGAAAAGTAGAATGTTTTTGTAATGGTGGCAGAATAAAGGTGAAACTGAATTCTTACCTGTTGCAAAAGGTTGAGTGTTTCTGTTGGCAGCCTAATGTCCTATGCGTTACAAGTGAGTGGAAGATGAGAAACGTTGCAGTTCCTAAGAGGAATGTCACGTAACAACCTCAAGTTGTTTGCATTTTGACCCCCTCCAAATTTTTCTAATTGCTTTTTCTCTCTGAGGCCTCCAGTGTCACCCTCTTCTGTTTTGTCCCTCTGTCCCTTGAACTTCTAATTTGAGCCATACCATCCTAAGGGATCATTTACAGTAACTGAAGGAGTTCACGAGGCTGAAGTTTTTGCAGAGTGGTTAGCGCAGATTCCTAGCAGTCTCTCACACTGTGCTGCAACACTAAAGGCTGAAATGGACAATCCACTTTGTTCTTCTGTCGATCTCAGTTTCAAGGTTTGAATCTCCTGAGGCCCTGAGCAATGCTGTACTTGTGTTATGGCCAGCCTGTCTGTGAGCTACAAATTTGCAGATTGCTGGCTTTGGGCATGAAAAAATTACTACTTATTTCCCTAAGATACCTAAGTGCTCTCCAGACAGCTTTCAGAAATTAATAGTCTTGCTGAAATGCAGCCACTTCTGCCGTACGTTATTCAGCTACTTAACAGTTCAGAGGAATGATGCAGTACAATTTAGGACAGGATGTGAAAGAGTATTTTATCATGCCAAAACATCTGAGAGGACTTGGTGAAGTGTTTTTTAATTATATCAGGTTATTATTTCCTATCTTTGTAAAAGTCTGAAGAACTGCCTGGAAGCAACACAATCGGGCTTCTGTAGTCCTGGACTAGATAGATAGGAGACTATCCAAGCCGCATGCTGAATTTCAAGCACCAGGGCAATGAAAGGCAAGTGTCTTCAGAGATTCTGACCTTATTGAACCACTTGAATGAATGAATGAACTTTCAGACCAAGATGACATACCCATTTATTTCTGCTACAGAAAGATTTACATTTCTCCATAGTGGTTGTTTCAGTTTACTGATTAAATTAGTAAACTGATTAGTTTACTAAATCCCAGCCTTCCCTTCTGTTTTGTGGCCAAACGTTTGTTAGCTGCATCTTTTAATACTTGGGGAGGGAATCTGCCCTTTTCCTGGAAGAGCCTTGAAGACTGGCTGTCAAATGGAGCTGTCAGGGTATTAATCCTATTGTTCTCCCTTTTCAGGGATACCATGTGGCGGATTTTCACAGGATCGCTGCTGGTGGAAGAAAAGTCCAGTGCATTACTACATGACTTGCGGGAGATAGAGGCCTGGATATACCGTCTGCTCCGTTCACCAATGCCTGTGGCTGGTCAGAAGCGGGTGGATGTGGAAGTCTTGCCGCACGAGTTGCAACCAGCTTTGACCTTTGCTCTTCCTGATCCATCCCGCTTCACCTTAGTGGATTTCCCATTACATCTGCCTTTGGAGTTGTTGGGAGTGGATGCCTGTCTGCAGGTGCTGACCTGCATCCTCCTGGAGCACAAGGTAGGAAGGCAAGAGTTGATCTTAGCTGATAGGTATGTGGGAAGTTCTCCTCTGCCCAAAACCAGGTAGGCTGGATGTGTAGAACAGCCGTCTCCTGCAGTCTCTGGAATCATTTTGTCTGGGGAGCAAGGATTAGCTCTGTCTGAAGTTCCCATTTGGAAAGATTTTATTCTCACTCTAAAAAGCATCTAAAGTTTGTTTTCAGACAGACTAATGGAGGGTCATCCAGTCTCACAGCAGTCAAATTGGAGGCCTTCAGGGTGTGATCTTTGGATCCCCCTGGGGGAATATCAGAAGGAAATGGTTACTTTCGTGCTGTTGTGAGTTTTTGTGGTTGCAGGTTGTACTGCAGTCCCGAGATTATAATGCGCTATCGATGTCTGTGATGGCCTTTGTGGCTATGATCTACCCGTTAGAGTACATGTTTCCAGTGATCCCACTCCTTCCTACCTGCATGGCCTCTGCAGAACAGGTGTGTATTTTTCCTTCACTAGCCTTTTGCAAAGGATGTTTCTATGATGTCTGAAATTGACTGTGTACAGGCGTAGTTCTTGTTTCTTTCCCCACTGTCATCTCAAGGGTTGTAGCAAAGACCGCCTTGCAGAGACTGTTTTCTGAGTACTTGTAACTATTTAAATTAGAGGTAACACCTTTTATTTAAGGTGTTCTCAAAGCATGCTCAGTGAATAGTGTGGTTCAAAGCAGTAGTTTCCACACAGTGGACTGGAAGGTCGTAGATCCACAATAATATGACAAGTATTTTTAAATTTATTTTATTTTTTCCCCAAACTGAGTATTCAGATTTGGTAGGGAGGGTCCAAAACAATGTTTAAGAAATCTTGAGGGTTGTTGATTCAGAGAGTTTGGAAACTATTGCCTACAATTTATTCTCCTTAGAAATATGAGGTGTTGAGTCTTTTTGACTGGAAGCTTGGATTTTGCTGATAGTCAGGTCTCTGTAGGAACTCATCATTTTGTTTGGAAAGACAGAATTCAGGCCATCTTAGTACTTCAGTGCTGTCTTACAACTGCTACTGCATTTTTCTTCTGCCCTTTGGAGGTAACCAAGTGTTCTAGATTTACAGAATGAATTAATCTTCCAATCTGCTGGTCTCAAGCTGCTGCACGGCTTATTGATTTACATCTTTTTCTTCTGCAGCTCTCCTTATCAGAAACAATAAGAACCTCCCCACTAGTTTTCCACATGTATCTGAAAACATTTGCTGTTTCTTGTGCTTCCTAGAGTTGTTACCATTTTGAAACCAAGTTAGCCTTTTGTAAATTTGGCTTTTATCTCACAACAGCACAGACTTAACTTGAGCTGAGGGCATATTCATGTGTGACTTGCAGCTTCTCCAGTTGGACTCTTCTCTGAGCATCTTTTTTTTTCTTGGTCTGTGATGGACATTTGCAAGCTGTTAGTTTAGCTATACTTTTTTCCACAGAGCCATTCAGCCATATGAAAGTTCATACTTTGGAGAAGTATGGAGGAGAGAAGGAAAAAAAAATTCTTCTAAATTAAAAATGAAGCTCTTAGAAGCAGGACTTACTCTTTTTTTTTTTTTTTTTTAACGTTTCTATTGTATGGAGTTGCTGACTTTTATCATTGCCTTGTGTGTTGCCTCCTCTGCTGTAAACAGATTGTAGTTAAAAATTTGGGATGAAGGGTGTGATATTAAATGCAGATCTTGTCCTTATTAATGTATCTGTTTCTCTCAGTTGCTTCTGGCCCCTACACCTTATATCATTGGTGTTCCAGCAAGTTTCTTCCTTTATAAACTGGATTTTAAAATGCCTGATGATGTATGGCTTATTGACCTGGATACCAATAAGGTAAGTGATGCCCACCAGGACTTGAGGCTTTGTTTCCAGTGGACTGTGCCCTTTCGTCAATGCGCCCATGGAGAATTTAAGAATGCCTGTGCTTATAGGCCAGCCTCAGTCTCCTTTGCCATTTCTTTCATAAATTTTAGAATTCCATTCCTTCTTGTAACAAAAGAAACAGGAACTTTGAGATAAAAAGGCATTCTTTTTCAGTTAATCTATCTGACTACTTCATAGGAAGATAAATCCTTTAAAAAAATGATGAAGCTGACTTCTTGGGTAACTGTAACCCTGTCTCTTATAGCCCTATGTAAGAAATCAGAACTGGTAAGAGCCTTCCAGCAGCATTGGTTGCCATGATTCAAATGGGACCACGTATCCCACTTTCTACTGTGGCACGAGCAAAACTATTGCTGGAAATTCTGAAGGGTGAGAGTGGGTTCATTCAAAACTTCTCTTTTCTGTGTTGAGAAATAAAGTAACTCCTCCTTTTTTTGTGATATTGTAAATAATAACCACAAAGAAGTGCAAATAAAAGTATTGATGCAGGGATGTTTTTTGTTTTCTTTTTTTCTTCTTCTTTTCTGGCCTTTATTCCTTAGTCTCTGGTGTGTTGGAGATGTAGGAGATTCTGGTTTGGAAATGGCTACAGCTAGAGAATTTTGTTTGTTGCTGTCTGTGATTAATTTCAGGTGATTGTTCCCACAAATGCAGAATCTTTGCCAGTACTGCCAGAGCCAGAAGCTTCGGAGCTGAAAAAGCATCTGAAACAGGTAAGAGGCACTTTGGAAATAGGACTTAGATTCAGTAGAACTCTGCAGATGTAGTCTTGCACGGTTGTTCTGCTATACCAGACAAGAATGCAAGTCACCAAATGTAAAGCAAAACGTGTTAAAAGCAGGTGTGTACTCTAGCACATCAGATGAACATTGGTAGGGTACCAGAGAAGTAGAATACGCTTGTTCAAACAGGTGCCCCTCAGTCAGCCGGTCCTGGAGAGGTCTCCACTTCTGAATGTGTAGTTGGGCTAGTCAGTAGAGTGGTCAATTCAAAAAAAGTTACAGGGACCCCCTCTTTTCAGGGCCATAAACCATATGATTATTCTCTAACCTCACCGTCTCCTGACTAGCCTGAGACTTTCATCCCGTTTTGGATGTCTCTGTATCTTCTCCAAAGGATTCCATTGTCATCTTTGTTACCTATTTCATCTTTTGCTGTCTCTGCTTCTTCCACTTCCCTCATTTGTTGCATAAGCACAGGACTAAGAACTTTCTGTCAGGCTGCTTAAGATGCCTGTTCCATATGAGTGGCCATGTTAGAAGTTAGCAGCATTTTGAGCTTGGGGAGCAGTATCAACTGGTGCAGGTGCTAAGCGGTAGATGTCCAGTTGCTGCTTTTCTCTCTAAAAGCAGAGAGTTGATTTGGAAAAGTGAGTGACCACAGAGGTGTATAATTGCAATTAATTTCTTGGCCAGGAGAGGGATAATCTGAAATGCTCTTGGACACAGCAGGTAGTCTCTGTTTCTTACTCTGTTTGGGGCTAACTTGTTTTCAGTTGGTGTGGAAAGTTCCAGATTCTTCCTTTACATATGCCGTGTGGGCTTTAAACTCTGACTCGATCTGTGTATCTGTGATCGTCTTTGTTTCCCGTACATTCACAGATCTGTGTGTGAGGTCTCAGTCCCTCCTCTCAAGTCCTGCTAAACCATTATCAGCCTGGGTCATCCTGGCTGATCGTGTCAAGCAGGTTTTATCTCTTATTTCTGTTTTCCTTATGCACGCTGCATGCAGTATCTAAAGGTAAAGTGTGTTACTGACCTGGTAAGAGAGGTTGTCTTTTTCTCTCTTCTCATAGATCAGGAGAGCAAAGTGTGTAACCTTTGTGATGCCCCAGTACCTGCTGTCAGCACATACGGAAATAATGCATTGCTTGGAGTTCTGTTAGTTCCATCTTCCCCCTACTTCTGCCTCACGCCGCTGCAATTTCAGGCACTATTCACCTAAACTCTCTCACTAGGGCAAAGCTGAATATCAGAAGAATAAAATGTGATTTCCTTGAATACCTCTTTTTAAAATTCTCAGGGTGTTCACCTGAACACAGACTACATTCCTATATCCTTTATCATTAAGATTTGGCCATTGCGGAAGGAGAAGAAGGGCTGCTGGTTGGTGTACAAAGTAGAGAAGACTAAATTGAGGCCCATGTCACTAAGGTTAACACCCTGGTGTGCCTTTGGGTCTTAGTGTCAATGAGAAAAAAATGCAGGATATCTGCTTTTAAACTGCAATGGAAAGTTCTTAGCTGTATCAAAAAGGACAGGAGCCTTTCCACTTTCCAAAGAAATTGTAGCCAGGTATGGATTTTGGGGGTGGGGCAGTCTGATCTCTCTATCAAAATGCGCCTATTTTGTGGTCCCTTTTATTTCCTCTCATTTGTGATACTTGGTAGTAATAGATTTTTTTTTTTTTTTTTCCCCTCCATCTGTTTCTCTGTGGTCATGTGTTCGTCTTGTCTCTGATGGGCTGCTGCTGTTATCACATGATCTTCCATCTTGCCTCCAGTGTCTGGTTAGCATGACTGCAATCACTCAGCAACAGCTGCTCACTCCTGACAACAAGGTTCTTTATTTTACTCTTTTTCCCTCAATTTTACATTTTACCCTTTTCCTTTAGTGTTTTAGTTTTGCTTTGTTTTCTTTATTTATTTGTAAAATAAACACATGAGGACTCAGCGGGCAAAGGGGAGAAATTAGGGAGCTTTAGGATTGTTCTGGCTCTCCAGGATGAACTTTCCAATCCTGCTGCTCCATGCTGCCTTTCCCTGAGGATGTTATGAGGGCTGAGAAAGATGGTAGCTTTATGGAGAGATGAAGACCTCATTCATACCGGAAGTGGAATATTGCAGGGATACAGACAGATGTCTGTGTGGAGATAACTGCACGCTGTCCTGGGATATCAAACTCACCAGTCTAACTTCTAAGTTGCAAGGCAGGTTGCAAGGCAGGTTGCAAGGCCTCTGTATCCCAAGGTACATTCAACCTACACATGCGGAATAACTCTCCAGTAGATTATTCAGAATGCCATACAGCTAGTGGTCAGATTTGTACTATCTGCTTTCACTTCAGGAATAATGTAGCAGTGCAGAGCTATGTGCTACCCTTTGGCTGGCTCCAGGACTGTTTCGTCATTGAGGTGATTGTTTGGATAGTCCGCATAAACAAGGACAGGGACATATTTCTTGACTCAGTGCAAAAGAGATGGTTTAAAACACATGAAGGGAGCATGCTCAGTTGGTGTGATTGCCTGGATGGCAGGGCAGCTCCACTCTTGCTCTTGTTCCTTAAGTAACTTTTTCTTACTGAGTGTGTATGTAATGTTGTCCTTTGTCAGGCACTGGCCAGCATGAGTCTGAATACTCAGCCCATTCTTAATCTAGAAAAGTTCCATGAGGGGCAGGAGGTGCCACTGCTGCTGGGAAGACCACAGAATGACTTGCAGTCCACTCCCTCCACAGAATTCAACCCTCTGATCTATGGCAATGATGTGGACTCTGTGGACGTGGCTACCAGGTGAATAGAGAGGTAGCATTAAGTCTTTATAAAGGTTGCACTTGAAGGCAGCACAGACGCTTCTGTGGTCCTGTGATGGAAGCAGCATCTTGATTCTACTGAAGATTCCACTTCACGTCATGGGTGGGGGGCAAAAAGAGCAGCATACACATTACAGTGTGTATGTCAGGTCTGTTAAATGCATGAATATATAATTATATATCTTGAGAGGGTGTTGGGTTTTTTTTGTCTTGCATCTTCCTGTAGTTCAGCCACGTTACCCTGGACTTGTCAGTCTAATGTTGTCTCCTCAGCTTAAATCACAGGCCTTCAACTACGAGAAAGCTGGAGACTTGGTTGTTGCCTCAGCTAGCTGATATGAGAAAGATGTCTCTCCTTGGGTGGGTCTTTGTGCTGAGGTGGTGAATTAAAGCAAAGTGATTTCTTGGTCTGTTTTTAAGAAGTTTCCTGGGAGGATGAAATTTTGGCACTGGGTTACTCTCTTTCAGAGGTTTGAAATGTTGCCCACTGCATAACTTTTAAAGGCTCTCTATTTTCTGTTCTGTTTTTCATTTGATATATTGCCCTCTGTTTCTTTTTAGGGTTGCTATGGTGAGATTCTTCAACTCGCCAAATGTTTTGCAAGGTTTCCAGATGCATACTCGCACTCTTCGTCTTTTCCCACGACCAGTGGTGGCCTTTCAGGCCAATTCCTTTCTTGCCTCTAGGCCAAAGCAAACACCTTTTGCAGATAAGCTTTCCAGGACCCAAGCAGTAGAATACTTTGGAGAATGGTCGCTCAACCCTACTAACTATGCTTTTCAGAGAATTCATAACAGTAAGTCTTGGTGTTAACTTTCCTACACAGTTGGTGTATTGCCGGAAGTTAAACCGTAGAGAGAGTCTAGGAAA